AGGTGCCCCAGTCGCCCCTGAAAAATAAGGCTCCCCATTTACCTAATATTCGGTTTCAACTAAGAGACCTACTGAAAATCAGGACCCCCCAAAAGAAATGGTATAGGTAATTGTGAAGGAACCTATGTTACTCGGTTTCAAGAAGGAGGAATTCGTGGTGGAGACCCAGACTCGCTCCTTGCCTGCCCACGGCCATCTTCGGATCAGTGCTGCTGAGCTCCTGGCTACCCAGAGACTGGGAAACCCTTTACTTAAGGAAATATACCTGAAATTGTAGTAGGCTCCCTAGTATGATTTAAAGAACATTCCTAAGGGGTTTTGGACGGTCTAGACAGGGGCCTTGAGAAACTCATCCTTTTGCACCGTGGGTTCTGCGAGGGTTGCTAAGTAACAGTTGCTCTATCGATGTTCGTGTATTTTACCACCAGGCTTGTTTTTGGGACTTTCGTAACTGCATGGGAGTACGGTACTACTCGCTATCCAGACCCCTGGATTGCTTGGAGGTTCCAGGGACTGAACGCGCAGGCTTGCGGGGCAACTGCGCCCTGAATCCTAGGCGATCCCTCATCCGAGACCTAAAGCCCCAAACCCGAAACTCCGAAAGGATCTAGGACCCTAAACCCTAAACCCTTTGGGACGTTGATAAGCTTCGGGCCAAGTGACCAGCCCCAGGACTTTGAATTTAGGGAGGACAAAGCGTTCTTGGAGGTTCATGGGTAGTCATAAGTAGGGTTATAGCCAGGGTAACTATTCTTATAACCCGTATTAGGGGCCTTAGAACCCTACTTATAACTACCCATGAACCTTCAAGTTGCCGTGACTCCGGAGTTGCAATCTAGGCGTCGCAATGATCAGAATAAGGCTTCGGCAAAGGAGCCCTGAAAGGAAGCCTTCAAGGCCCATGAGGGTTCAAGTATGCTCCTTATTCTCAGGCTCGGGGTCCTGTTTGGGGTACAAAAACCATCAATGTGGACTACTTGGGCCCTCAGGTTTCAGTGAGAGCAATATCGGAGGGTGTTGGGCTCATCGCTGAAAGTAGAGAGGCCAGAAATATCTTAACATGTTTACTTGAAAGCACCAGGACCACAGACGAAACCGGGACATGCGAAAACGCTCATCACCCTAAACCCTAAACCCCGAAACCCTAAAGCCCTAAATCCTAAGCCGTAAACCCCTAAACCCCCAGATCCTAAACCGGTGCCCATCAGCATCTCGTTACCTTCTAAAGCCTGAGCCCTGAGCCCCAACACAACAAAACAACAGCCCTGATCCCGGCATCGTAAATCCCCCAAAGCCACAAACCCTCCAGGCTTCAAATTACATGACTATGGAGCCCTTCATATTTAGAATAAGGTTTGGGGCCCATTATACTACAAACTATAGTGAGGAACCCCCCCAAAACAAAAAGTATAGGCAACTATTTAATCCCCAAAAACCTCTAGCATCCTTTCTATTATGCTGAGCCTCGCACCTGCTTTAGAGCCACCTCTTCACGCCGCAACGCTGCGGCCACCTGATTAAGCAGGACTATTCTGCAAGATAATTCGGCTTATGTCCTCAATCAACGGCTTTGGGGTTTAGGGAGGTTTCAGGGTTTCGAGTTTGGGGTTTCGCATTGGAGCTTTGGCATTTGAGGCTAGGAGTGCGTTGGCCTTAAAGGGAACTCCAGAAAGTTGGAATATGGTTTCAGGGTAGGATACCCTATAATTTACCATACAGGCTTTAGGATATATAATCATATTCCAACTTTCTGGCTTTTACCTTCTCCTCCCAGAAAGGTTGCAAGTCAAGAGCTCGGGGATGAGGGCTTCCCTACTTGGAGGCTCATGGGTAGTTATGAGTAGGGATATAGGTAGGGTAACTATACTTATAACCCATATTAGGGGCCTTATTACCCCACCTATAACTACCCATGAACCTCCAAGTACTCCCGACACCGACGGCCAAACTCCCGCAAAGCCTAAACAACCCCCCGCACGCGAAGGTTGCCAAGGTTGTATCCTATGAAAAAGACGCAGTCAATGCTGGAGCTTCCACGTTGGATGAGCCCAGCGCAAAGAGATGTGCCAACTCCCAAGCTGAGCGCGCACGGAAACAGCATCTGCTCTAACATTAGCTGCTCTCTCTCCTCGGGTGTGAGGGGCCCTCTCCCATCATCAGTGTCACCAGGAGGCATGTGGGAGTTTCCGAAAATAGGGGACCCCAATATAGTACCCTCAATAGTAGGATCCTTATTATAAGGACCCCCAAATAAGGTACCCCTAATTTTCGGAAACTTGCATTTCAACATCAGGGAGTAGCTCGGCCTCATCATGCTCATGGTTGCCTCTTCTGCTCTTCCACTTGGAGGGTCGGGGGACTTAGTAGGTAGGTAGTAAGTAGACTTAAAAGTACCCTAAAAGGGACCCTAATTGGGGTTATGGTACTTATAAGTCCCCAAAATGACCAGTTACTACGTCCCCCCACCCTCCAAGCACTCTGTACGACGAATGGAGCCCAGTTGAGTGTCAGCGAAGAGCGAGGGCGAGGAAGCAGGCGAAGGGCGAACCAAGATCAGTACCACACAGATACTTACCTAATACCTAAGGGGTTTAGGGTTTAAGGTTTAGGGTTTAGGGTTTTAGGGCTTAGGGTTTAGATGAAAAGTTCAAACTTCCACAATAGGACCAGAAGTTGAAAAGTGTGGTTGTGGAACATTAGCGATAACTGTCAACAGGCCGACGCCCAAGGCGGTTCGCAAGCGCCGCAGTGATCTGAAATCGGTCTCGAGCGAGCTGGGTGTCTCGCAGGGAGCTGATGCGAAGCCACCCCTTCATCCGATCCCCTCTTGGGTTTAGGGTTTAATTTAAGGAATCAGTATAAATATATAGTGTAGTTATATGACACATTTCAAAATTCCCGAGGATATGACAATGCAACTGGCTTTGTATCAACGGCTTTGTTACAACAAGGGGAAAGAAGACGAGCAATTTATGCAGAAGAAGCGCGAAGCAAGTTTAAGGCACAACCAAAGAAGACAGTTAAGGAATACATGGAAGAGAATAGTTTAAGTGAAGAAGGTTTGACACCGACACAAATTACGGAAATCATTTCTGATAAGAAACCTAGCGGAAAGAAACGCGAAGCGCCCAAATACGATATGAATGAATACAGGGCAATTATGCTGCCAAATGCCGTTTAAAATGATGACGTAGTTTTATATCGAACCATTATTTTCTGTTACTTACTTATATGAGTGAGAAACAGAAAATCATGAATGACGTGCATTTTGATAGAGCGGGTTATGGTTCAAAACAAATGACATTAAGCGAAGCACGAGAGAAGGAAAACAAAAATAACAATGTGTGATATTAACGAGTGCATTTAGACAAAACGTTCCGGCAGGTCAAAACAGCTTTATCGCCCCTCCTTCCGCATATGAGTATCAGATGGATTAATTTTTTATTCACGATTTGGATGAACAAAAGTTTAGGGTAGGCATGCTAATGATTGATGTATCTGACAAGTTTATGTATGTAGTGCCTATAAAAGGAAAAAGGAAGAGGATTTAGCGAGTGGGATGATTGAGTGTCTAAACAAGATGGGAAAGAAACCCGAGATAATTTATACAGGCGACGAGGGAGCAATGAACAAGGAGGCGATACAGAAGTGTTTGAAAGATGAAGATACAGAACATCATAGAACGAGAGCGCACCCAAGTTTTAGCGAACGAGCCATCAGAACATTTAAAGATTTGGTATATCGTAGAGTTGAAGCAGATGAGAAAAAAGGAAACAGAACATCCAATGCCCAGATTACATGTTAGAGATATTGCTAACCTATAATAATCAAATGAAGCACTCGGCAACGGCATATACGCCAAGAGATGCCCGACAACCTAGTAATCATTTCAAGCTGAAAGTAAATTTAACTACGATGAATGGAAAGAAGAACCGTGTTTATCCTGAACTAGATGTAGGGGATGAGATCAAGATATTTAGGAAGCGAAAACCCAATGAAACAGAAACAGTCAGCAACTGGTCACAGAATATTTATACCATAGAAAAATGATTGCTGAAAATAAGTTAGGTCAAAATTACTATAAAGTTGAAGGTACTGTAACGATGGGTAGTATTTGCGGGTTGAGTTGTTAAAAGATTGAAAGCATCCCCTATCCCAAAGATTCCCGACACCTGAGTATTGAATATGGTTAACGTGATATGCACATATGTATTATATATACATACATACATACATACATACGTACATACATACATATACATACATACATACATACATACATACATACATACATACATACATACATACATACACATATATGTGCGCGCGTGTTTCGCCTCGTCTTTGTATGTAACTTGCCTGTATGCTTTTGATGATGCTTACATTACGTCATAGTAAACGCAAATTCTGGATTTGCTTGAATGTTTTTGTTGAAGGTTATTTTCGCAATAAGCTAGAAACACTCAAGGCACGTGCAGGTGTAGATGTCGCAGTCTGTGTAGCGCTAGGTGTCGTAGAGCACGAGGATTGATGTTGAACTCTTGATCGCAAATGTCCTTCCGAAGGCGAAAGTGGGAGGCACTGAGGGGAGCGGGACACTGGATGTGCTCGGCATTACGAAACGGAATGCTTTTGGACCTCACGCTGTCTAATGTTGAGCAGTTCCGTATATACATGAGGGAGATTGCGTCGGCTCCGCAACGGGCATCCTCACCTCGAACGGATGCGTATGAGCACGATGGTGGGCCCAAGCAGGAATTCCTTCTAGGCGGAATGTTCTAAGTGGCATATTCGAAGTGCAATATCTCAGGGGGATATTGCGAGTTACAGTCATGGGTCAGGTGATAGAGGTATGGTTCTTATTGTGGTTATTTTTATAGTATATTAGTACTGTTGTTATGTTATTCTTATTATGATAGAATAGTAGTGCAAGGGCCTTGCCCTGCAGAATCCTGAAGCGCGCGCGAATGCTATTAGAGCGTTCCTTCTGCTCAGTATGTCTAGAACTTGGCCTCGTTTGTCTTTAACTTTGCGTCCGTGGAGTCGCTGTCGGTTCCGAAGTTGGCCACATCCCGAGCGCTCTCTGCCACAAATTTGTCAACTTCTTGTTGGAAATGTTGCGATTCAACATGCATCTGCCAGTTGTCTGCGAAGTCCCCCCAATCTTGGCTCAACATGCCCACGGGTTTCGGCGGAAACTTTTGGAGCAACATGGCCAAACACCTGGTCTTGAAGTTGTAGAACTTGAACTCAGAAACTCGAACCTTCCCACACAACCTCTTCCAAACTTCTGAGCGAAGAAAGCTTTCGAATGGCGAAATCCAACGATGCCCTCTCACGGCTTCGCTGAGGACGAGGTAAAGGGCGTCATCCAGATCACCTGTCTTGTAAGCTTCTCCATCATAGCAGAAGTCAGTGTCGAAATCATAAGAAAAGGCTTTGTCCCAGAGTTGTCGAAAAGCCTTCCACTGCTCCACTGAAATGTATTCGTGAGAACCGTCGTTACGGCTTTTCAACGACTCCAGGTATTCTTTCGTGACAATTGCTGGCAAGTCATTGGTTCCGCATCCATCTTGCTCCTCTGAGGTGCAGCTTGGCATCTTTGAAGCTTGCTTCGCAAGAGCCTGAGCATGTTCCTCTTTCAACCTCGTCACAATAGCACTGGCTACCCTTGCACGATGATCTGCAAGATACTGGTTCTCAATGGCCTTGTTCTCCAGCTGAATAATCTTTTCGGCCAGCTCGTCAGTAGTGCCCTCTCGCACCGCGTCATAAATCTCTTGTCGCCACTTGCGTACGCGCATGCCGTCTGAAGACACATCGCAAAGATCCACTGATGCAGGCCATTCGGTCATGGCAGATCAATGGGAATCAAAGCTAAACTGGGGTCACACCGCTACACTGCACAAAGAAATGCCGTCCGTGGCAGCGGCTGGCAAAAACTTTAGCTAAATGCCGTCCGTGACAGCGGCTGGCAAAAGTTTATCTTACACTCGCAAAAAACTGAAAACAGCGTATAACATGGGCGTCCGTAAGCAGTGCCGGTCCTTGTGCCACGACATCGCAGAAGATGGCTAAGGAAGTCCAGGTCGCATCAACGATTCCACCTTTAACCTGTGTTTGCCCGCAGCTCTGAGAGCCAGCCACCCCAGGAATCCCTGAAGGCTTCAATGCTGTTGAGAATGTCCTATGCCCTAATCCCTTGAGATGACCTGTTTCATGTTTTCAACCAGGCAGTTTGAGGTTGGAGCTAAGGGGCATATTGATGTAGCGCGAACGGATCTTAGGGCTCTTCCTATGTATGGTCCCTCGTCTGGGCCTACCGAAAAAGCAAATATTGGCAATCGAAAGAGGGTTGAAGAGCTTTGGGTAAACATCAAAACGACACTCCTCTATTCTCCACCACTGGCTTTTCGCAGGGCTGCCTGTGCCAAACCCTGGACGAAGCCCCCGACAAGCCAGTCGTTAAGAGTATGATGAAGTTCCAAGTCAGAATGTAGAACCCGGATGCCCTCTTAGACGATTCAATCACAACATGCCCCTAAAACCTAACCCAAAACCCTCAAGCATCCTAAACAAGCTCATGAAACTCGAGGTTCCCAATCATGCTGAAGTTTATACACCTCAGGGTTCAATACTGAGGGCAAGCAAGTGCTGCAGAACCCCATCAAGCCCCCCTGCGGAACCCTACACATTACTTGAAGGTTTCGAGCAGTCAAAGGTGGGGTTGTTTTTTTTGAGAGAAAACTCAGCAAAGCTGTACTGCCCAGGAAACTAGGATCTACTGTGAATGCCTTTCGGTTGCAACGAGATTAGAACCCCGGGTTGCTGTGCTTAGAGCCGAAGTCGAGAAGATCGCAAGTAAACCTTTGAAAGGCCTTCAACCCCATGTAACCATGCAACCAAGACCCGCAAAATCCTCCCACATCACGTAGAACCCGATAAAGCCGCTAAATCCGAAACCTCAAAACCTGTGCTTGGATCGCCACGTGTGCATGGCAACGGACAATCGCGGCGGCAGCAAACCTTGGGCTAGGGCAAAGCTCTTCCCAAAGCAAATAAAGCAAACGCACCCTAAACCAAACTCCCCAAGCCCCATTCCTGCTATAGAAACCCTACTTTCTACTACATGGAAGTCATTATAAGGATCCTACTTTTTTTAGGGTTCTAGATTAGGGCCCCCGATAGCTTGAAGCTCTGAAGCCCTAAACTTTAAACCGCGATGCCCGTAAGTCCTAAATGCTTACGCTAAGCGCTGCAATGCATCATGAACGCCGGAGGCTTCCCCTGTAAGGCTCCTCTTTAAAGGAACCCCTTATACCTATGGTCTCCATTGTAGTTCCTTTTTTTGGCTTAGCCAACTATATATATATATATATATATATATATATATCCTAAACGGTAACCCCAAAAAAAGGAACTACAATGGAGACCGTTCAGGGTTTAAGGCTTCGGGAATACCCCTTAAAGGAACCCTTAGTACCTTTTGCGGGAACCCTAAACCCTAAACCCTAAACCCAGAAGCTCCGGAACAAACCCTTGGAGAACAAATCGAAACTCAGCTTGGAACCCTGTTAAATCCAGAAAGAAAACCCTTATACCCGATCTGAAACCTTTATGAAACCCTCCATACCATAACCCCGTCGTGAATGCCTATGAAACCTCCATACAAAGGCAGATCGCTCCTTGCTCAAGAGGAGATTGGATGGGTTCTCCTCATCAGGCCTCGCACAAAGCACAAAGAAAATTACCGGGTCAAGCGGTTCAGGGTTGAAGGTTCAGTTCATTGTCAAGGTTTGAGGGTCAACTTTACACCCTATAATCATCGAATTGTAGCAACGCTTTAATCCTGTGATAGAACCCTAGAAGATCCCTCTAAGCCCCATGATACGAACCCCGGGCCCTGAACCCGCCTGGACCCCAAAAGTTGAACCCTAAACATACCCTGAACCCTAAGCTCCCCTTTAACCCTAAACCCTGAACCCTACCCTAGGCCCTGAGCCTTAAACTCCTTGAGCCCTGAACCCCTTAAAGGGATCTATAGGGTTCCTTAAAGGGATCTCGAGGGTTTAGTTTAGGGTTTGGGGTGTACTTGGAGGATCATGGGACGTAGTAAGTAGGGTTAGTAGTACCTTAATTGGGGTTAGAAGTAGATATAACTATAGTTACCTTACTTACAACCCTACTTACTAAGTCCCAGCATGGTCCTCTAAGTATCCGAGGCCCATGCCACGGAGGGTTGCCATACTTTAGGACTCAGGATTATGGACCCTTGGAGATATAGACCCTCTCAATCAGGTCCCTTCTAAAAGAGCCAGAAGCGGGGTCGAGACGGGTCCCCTTTAAGGGGTCTCCCTAATACCTAATTCTACCAAAGATACTACTTGCTCGGGTTGTTCTGGAAGGCAGCTGGTATCGGATAAGGTCTTGGGCCAAGATTCGGCTACAGGCATCCGTTTCATGGCGGTTTTCAGGACGACAGCTCGAAGCAGAGATCAAAGCAGGGCCCATGTGCAAAGACGGCTTGAGTCGAGGACCAAAGCCGCAGGCACTCAGCCGGCAGCCGCAGAATTAAGCCCTGAACCCTGCAATATGGGGGGCCTGACATACTTAGAATAGGGTTTTGGGGCCCCTTATGTATACTATAATTCTGATAAAAAAAAACCCAAAAATAGTCTTGGTAATTATTTAAGCCCCCATAGTATTCTGGGATGGCCGAAGGGGGGGCCGATGTTTCTGAAAAGGGCTTCAAGACTGGAGGTTCAGCGAGCAAACCCCACACTGACCCACAGCTGGCACTGCGCCTGCACCCGGGGGCTTGCCCTGAACATGGAGGTGCTTTTCAAAGCTGAATAGGAGGGACCCTTAATGGGGACCCCTACCCTAGAATGGGCGATAGAATGGGTGTATAATAGCTATATTAAGGGTATACAAGGAAGGGTCCTGATTAAGGGTCCCTCCTTCTACCGTTGGAATGGAGGTGCTTTGGTGTTCGGGGATTTTAGGGCCGAGGTTGTTGCGGATGCATCGTGGAAGGGTTACGTAGTACGACTGCAGAAACCTGAGAGACCATGTTGGCTTTGCAACCAGGATTTAGCGGTTGACCCATGAAGTCATAGGCAATTTCGTGGGATCATGGACTGGCATCAGTCTGCTTCCCGCACCGCAAACAAGCTCTGCAACAAGACAGGGTTGACGTGCTTTGACGGCTGCAGCTGCACGACAGGTACTAACACACACACACACACACACACACACACACACACACACACACACACACACACACACACACACACACACACACACACACGCGCGCGCGCGCACAAACACCTCGACGCGCACGCGTGCGTGTTGCAGGGCTTACGAGAGATACCAGTCCGACGCAAGGGACGGCCACGACTACGAAAGCAAGTTCTACTGCCACTGACACCGCCACCACCATAAGGACGACGACGACGACTAGGCGATGACGACGGCAACGACGAAGATGACGACAAAGACGATGAAGACGACGACGACGAAGACGACAACCAAGACAACTGCGACGACGAAGAAGACGAAGAGAACGAAAACGCCAGTGAAGGAGACAACGACGACGGCGACCCCGGTCCGGACCCGGACCCCTACTACTACTACTACTACTACTACTACTACTACTACTACTACTACTACTACTACTACTGCTACTGCTACTGCTACTGCTAATCCTAATTCTGATCTTACGCAGTACCACTCCTTTTCGCCCTACTCCGCTCCTTTGCCTCTGCCCGCACTGCTGCAGACTAGTCGCACAGTTGCTTGCTTTGTAATATTTCCTTCTACTGGACTTTGAAGTATCCAGGAAGAGAAATGTATAGACTTCTACTTCATAATGGTTCCTTTAAGGAACATGCACCAAAAAAAGTATTCAAGTATGGTACTCCAAACCCAGGTCTATTAACCCCAAACCCACTAGCCCTCTGAACGAAGTCGCCCGGCCAGGGACCTTCTTTCGCCTTCTCCCGTATCTTGCGGGCGAACATGCGGATGTCGACGCCTTGGGGAGTAGGCCCAATTCGGCGATCAGGATGAAGGTGCAGGGCTTCAAGGCTTTCAAAGAGCTCTACTTGGAGGTTCATGGGTAGTTATAAATTAAGTAGGGTTATAGGTAGAGTAACTGTACTTATTACCCATATTCGGGCACCAAAAACCCCACTTATGTCTGTTCCTGAACCTCCAAGCATACCAAACCGACTAAAGCAAGGCTACGGCAACGCCTTCATCCGGTGCAGCGGAGCCCTGGGCTCCCCAGGCGGGTATGTAGGGCTGGCAGCGTGTCATTACGGTCTCGTATACACTACCTAGAGGCTCATACCCTACCCCTTTTTTTAAGGATACCTAGTTTTAAGGTTAGGATCTGAAGAACAGAGACCCCCAACAAAGGGGTACTAGATTTTCGAATCGGGAGTCAGGGGTTCCGGGGCGAGGGTTTAAAGCGTTTAAGGTTTGGGGTTAAACCCATAAGCCCGGGATCCCACTGTAGATGGTCCATGTATCCCACTAACATCCTCAGCACCAAGACTCAAATATACAAAAAAAATAAATTGCGAGCATTGCAGGAGACGGGCGAAAACAGCGAAGACGTTCCAAAACTCATCTATCCCCGCACACGTCGCTGCCTTCAACCCGCACATCCGAAATCTCAAATTCCATCACCCTGGAAACTTGAATGCAGTGCAAACCCCTTCCGAAAGGTGTTGGAGGCCGAAAGCCCTAGAACCCTGAAGCTACCATGGACAGCGCCTCGATAAGATGACTAGGCCAGACACAGCGCACCCCACACCACGCCATGAACCACCGTCCCCGAGACCTTCGA